TTTGTTGTAATAACGAACAGATGGGACATGATCCAACTTTGAAGAGATTAACATCCCTTCTTACTTCATGTCTTTGAGAAGGTATGCAGCCTCTTAATGCGATGCACAGTGGACTGGAAACAAGCGCGCATGCTTCCAGTTCTTTTGTAGTCTTGGACAATATGAAAATCGGGACCCTTCGGCCACTCTTTCCCTCCGTCTCCGAGTGAACTCAAGTGAGTTCAGCATATCATGCAAAAATATTTTTAACAGAATTCACCATTTAACTCACAGTGGTTATATTTTACAGTGAGGTCAGACAAACACATCCAGATCTCCACACAATCCTGAAAGAAGCTCCCACATCATAAGATTTTTATGTTGAATTTCCCAGTCTGCCAACTGAAGCCACTCGACTTTGCTTACACCCCCCCGCATCTGCAAGAACTGGGGTTTGCACACGCACAACTTAAAAGTAGCGTGACGATGCTGAAACTGGAAAGTATCCACCGGTAAACCCACACTTCTGCTGATTGAGATAAGGAACTTTTGTATGACTTTAAAATTCAGTTAATTGTGCGAATAATCGTCTCTATTCGTCTACACTCGATTCAGGGATGAAATCTAAGGACATATTCACAGAATGTTTGCAGAAAAGTTTTCTTTTAAAAGATTTTTTGTGTTTGCCCTATTAGCCTTGAATGACAGTTGCTTGACAGGAAGGAGGGCAGAGATAGAGAAGGGGAGACCTGCGGGAAAGAGCCATGGGTTGGAATCAAACCCAGGCTGCCCGCTTATGAGGAGAGGCTCTACACATAGTCCACCAGCTGTAACCATTAGGCTACGCTGCGGCCCAGTTTTCTTGTGTCTACTCTGAACATCAGCATGCTGTATTGAAAACAGACGCTGTCCCTTTGCATTGATTTCTGGAACAAATATTGATGATTTCAAGGTGAAAACAGGTTTTAAGTTTGATTGTGTCAGTTATTTTATCAAATTTATTTTGAAGCAAAGAGTTTGACCATAGTGGCGTATTTCACAGCAGAGAGTCCAACGTTTCCACATTTATTAGCTGAATTTGCCTTTAATTCCGAAGTACGCTGCTCAAATCTGAAATCCCTCTGTGATGTTTACCCCTGGACCTGGCAGAGTGAGACCGTGGCAAGGTCTCTGACAGTTAACGGTTTACTGACAATGACTGAATGACAGTGATGACAGCAGGCCACAATAAACAAACGAGAGCGGCAGGGATGGGGAGCAGCGTGTCTCTATGACAGAATAACGACTGCTGACGGTCCGACACCGACTGACACTAATAATGGAGACAGAGGGCATGACACTGATACAGCGCAAATGACAGCGACCACAATGAGGCAGACGGTGACGATAACAGAGAGAGTCCCATTGATGGTTCTGCGACAGAAGGTGACAGTGACACAGAGACAAAGTCACACAGAGAGAGATCATGAGAAAGATCGTGATACCAGCGAGTGTCATATTTGTTTTTCACTGCCAAAATACGAGACGCCAAGCAGCAACAGCAGCAAATTTCACGTCTGATGGTCCCCACTAAAACAATCTCACTGGCTCAAAGTTACGAGGTTGTGTTATTACCGACAAAATCTGAATTTAGAGATGTCTTTGGAGTTAATTTGCTACATACGTTGCAATTCTATTTTTTCAATGAGCTAATAACTTTATTAGAGACTGAATATTTGGTATTTGCTAATTAAGTTCCATCTAACCTCCAATTCGGATCTTTTGAGGGACCTTGTGGCTTCTTGACTGAAATACCATAAGAGGCCCATTCACTCTGACTTGAAATCACTGACGTGAGCCACACTGATGGAGCATAATAAAAACAGTTTTCCTAAATTACAATTTGAATGGCAGAATTCGTTTAGGCAGTAAGGCCCAAAGCAGCCACAGGCCGTCTATTACATCCCAAGTTTAAGTTTGAATATATTTCTACTTGATTTAGGCACAGTTAAGACCCAGGCTTTAAACAATTGAGCATATTACAGCAATATACTGTAGCAGATCAGCTACTGTGTAGCTAATCTGTGTAGAATAACCTGCTGACGGTAGTTTACAGAAAATTTACATATTTCCAACCAAATATTTTCACTGATCCTCAGCTGACTCTCCTCCAAACAATTTAAGGAAATTATTCGTCGACTGATAAACCTGCCGGCTGTGCTCTTCGTTGCAATTGCACTGATACACTCATATTTTTAGATTAACATCTTTTATTTGATTAAAAGTTTACTGAGGTAAATCTGGTTCTTTGCTTTTAAATCATGCTCTTAATAGTTTACTGCCAACATTTCTTTTCCCTGTTTTAATATCCCAGTAATATTTGCATAACATTGAATGTACGTGTGTCTTCTCCTGCTGCCCATTCTCTTTAACTGCTTTACTGTCGCTGAACTTATCATATAAAAACAAATGCAGCCTCAATGTTCTACTTTACAGAGACAAATGGCTACTTATTAATAATACATCACAATTTTAAGCTGGCTTGTCCCAGTGTTGATGCAGATTAGTTAACATCTGCATTAGTTAACACCTGCACCTAATTGTGTCTTTCATAATTTACATGATGGAATTTGCTGTGAGGGACCAAGTGAGGAACTTCACTGACATAATGCACAATGATGCTAAGGACTTGTTGCAACAGCCAAGCACTAAATATAGACACAAAGGCATGCGAGTGGCATTGTTGACAGAAGGAGGCCTTGGCAAGAGAGACAGCATCTTGATAATAAAGCAGGTTTGTGTTCAAAGCTGACTGGCTCAACTCAACATAAGAGCTACTATGACCTTAAAGATACTGTAAAAAAATAAAGACAGCTGTAGTGCCGCCAGATAAACAAGACAAGTGAACATAGTTGGTCTTGTTGTTTATTTAAATCTGAATAAGGAACACAAGGAATGGAGAAGTACATGTTTGTTTGGGGGCTTTTATCTCTGATGGCCTTCTCAGCAATTTATGTTCATGTTTGGAACATAAATTCCATCCTCACTTGACCATACAACTTAATTAGTTTCTTAGGCAATATGGATTATGCAGGTTAACATTATTCAAGTTAACTTGCAAAGCCTTTAAGTGTTTTAAACTCATTTCTTGTTTTGGAACAGCAGTATCAGCGTTTTATTCAATGTATGATACGATTTAGAGAAACAGAGCGATTTTTTTTTTTTTTCCTCAGGCCACATAAACACTGAATTCTATATTAACTCATCCCTTGTGACAACCTACATATGCCCTTGTGACATTTTGCCTTGCAGTGCATCTACAGCCTGATCTTTTTTGTATATTAACCTTTCACACAGCTTACACTGTATCAGTTTGTCCATATTCATATGACAGAAAAGTATAGCTCAAAAACAGTATTAATGAAATAGAAATGAGGTGCTTGTTATTGGAAATCCCTTTTATGGTTATCTGTTTTCTGATTAGAAAGCCCCCCTCAATGTTTTTCAGTATTACATTTTTGTTTTTGTTGAACTTATGTACTAATGTCGAACTAATGTTAAATGGGAACAAGGAAAGAAAGAGTGTGAAGAACAGCCAGGAAACAAACCACAATAAAAGCTGTACATGTACAAGAACAATGAGACAAAACCAGCAGCTATATCTGTAGATGAACATAACAGAAAACCCCTTGCAGCCTCAGTCGGAAAAGCAAACGGAAAACCGTCATGAGCACCTACAGCAAGACAAATGGAGAACAACACAAACAGCAGCATGAATATGAGAACAAAACCAAGGATACTCATGATTAAATCCACTGGACAGAAGCAACTGTTTGGGAAGTGTTTAAGTGAATGAGGATGAGTGTGAAATATGGCACACATCTTACATGAGTTGTGTTCAGTGATGAGTGCAGAGAGCCGCCACGTGTTGCCCTGCAGCTGGTCAACAGAATGGAGAACCCAAGCAGCTGACCGGAGGGAAAACCACACATCCACCCAAATAACAGCCCAAACAGTCCCCCCACAGCTGTGGAGCAAAGGTCCCAGCAGATCAGGGGGCTTTAAACATTAATATATATCAGTCTCCCTTTTCACTGATCATGAGCGCAGAGAGCATCCTGTTCTCTGGGCTATCTCTTTACTTGACGTTCGTTTAACATCTAAAACATTTCATAGTTCAGCAGATGTTTGTTCATTGTATGAAATGACTGACATTGACATATTATGACAAACTCTGTTACTTGATGTTTTGACGCTAAGCATAGATTACATTTCTGAAGGATGTTTGTCTGCCGGCTCTAGTTGCGATGCCAGACCAGGATGATTTCCTTCTTGTTCCCTATATGAACATTTCTCAGAATTTACTACTTTGTATCTTTAATACATATGAATGAAACCTGGAATTGTAAAAAAACAAATAAGTTGTTTGAATGTAGAGGCTGTTACACTCATATCCATACTGCACGGACTTGTCGCCAGATGTGGAATGTCATGAGAGTTTAAATTCTTGTATAATCAGGTGAAAACAGTATTTCTGTGCAATTTTTTAAGCACTACTTTTTGGACCACCATGTTTTTAAAATTGTCCTGACTGGAGAAATACAGTGTCTAGTGTAAGTAAGTTCTTGGTTGCATCCTGTATCTTTGCTGCTGTCATTTAATAGAACTATTTTGGTTAAATGAGGCATCTGAATGGCGGAAAGTATTGAGCATACAGAAATGTCCAAGAGAGAAGAAGCAGAGGATTCAAGTGTTACTGCTGTCTGGAATTGTTTATGAAATTCATCTTGCCTGAGGTGAGACTTCACATTTAATATTTCAGCCTCAGACATGATTTGCAGTCTCCGCGGTGTGTTGTTTTGGGGATGCACCGGTGCGGTCATGAGGAACATTAACATCAGCACTGCTTGGTACGGTGCTGTCAGTGGATATATTCAGCTGGGTACTTATGTCACCCTGCTGTCAAGTGACATGTAGGATGTCACCGTGCGGAGAAGAAGGGAGATGGAACACTGCCGAGTTGTTTGTAAGGTTTGCCACTTATGCTTAGGATTCAATTTACATTAAAAGAACACGTGACTAGACTGGAAGATCAGGAAAAAAACCTGCTTCAGTCCAAAACTTCAGAGACCTGTGGTAAATGGGGTCACCTGCACTTTTCCCCCTGGAATTCCCTTAGATATGAAATGCAATAATTTTGACCCATACATTATTTTGCAATCATATCCTGTATCTTGATTCTCATAATTTCTGCTTTGTTTTTCTTCCTCAGTCATCTGCAATTTCCGAGGCTCGGTGACTCAGGGTTTGGCTCTGGAGGTGGGAGAGACGGTTCAGATTCTGGAAAAGTGTGAAGGTAAGATAAACGACCTCATGAGAGGCAGGGAGAATATATGTCTGATGCAGCCATGTCTTTAATCATTGTTACAACAGCAAAAAAACATCAGTGAAACGGCAGTAAATGCAGCAAACACCGTCCAAGGCTCATGATAAATATTGAGAGAGAAATGCATACATCAAAGAAGAATGAATATTGTGGAAAAATAAACTAATCACGAAATACCCATCGATCTCAAAGCCCTTGGGCTTACACAGAAGATAATACCTCTGGGTCACAGTTGTTTTCTGTGACTCGGTAAGACTGATTATGTGCTGCCTACTAAATCCTGTGCGCTCTTTATGATAAAAATTATGACATAGTTTCATATTTCTCAGAAGCTATCAGAAATTTGCCTTTCAAATCTTGCACAAATCAATCACAGTAAGACAGGTTATCAAAGTTATAAAGCCAGGAAACCATCCCACCATCTTTTTTTACCATACCCACATAAAATATTCAGGCTCTTTAGGGGGGCAGATGGAGCCAACCCCAGCACATGTGACAGCAGACTCTCTTCAGCCTCTACAGAACAACAGATTTTTCCAGACTTTAGTACATTCTCAATCATTGAGGAAAAAAAAAAAAAACTCTGAATGGCCCACATAATGTTTGTATGGGTTAATTTACGACATGTCAGTAAGAGAAAAGAAGCCACAATCTGTAGCAACCCCCCCCCATCCCCCCTCTGTTCCAAAACAGAAATGCCATTCCTTATTGAAGATTATTTATTGTTGTTGTTTTCTTTACTTGAATTATTCCGGACTGGTCAGATACCCCCCTAATTTCACTGTGATTAATAAAGCATTTTTGATGTTGGAAAGTTTCCAAAACATTGCACATACAAATAAATATTGTAGTTGTGATTTATTATTACAATTGACTTTGCAGATTGTTGAAAACTTGCATAAAGTTTTCGAAATGCGTATTTCTCAGGCTTTGATTGAGTCCTCTATCATCTGAAAAGTGATAAACTTGTACTTTTACCATTTATGTACAAATCTGTACACATGTGACACGATGTGTGATGACTTTTTTGAGTGAGCCAGACAGAAAAGTGTCCTCATTAACTCCGCATCAGCTGTGCAGGCGCAACTGTGGATTAAAACAAATACCCATTGCTGTTTTCTTAGATTTGCAAAATGATGTTTAAGACACCAGTGAATGGCTGAGCTAGAGCCAAAGCTATTAGCCGATGTTACTCCCATTGTTTTAAGTAGTTGACTCAGAAATTAGCAGCTCGAGCCAGGATGTGTCTGAGACCAGGACATGCTGCCTTGCAGATAATGAGGAAGAATTTGTTCCATTAGCCACAGCTGGAAAGGATGATTCCAGTGATCTAACGCCGGCGGCTGATTGGACCTTTCTTTACCCCTGGGGCAAAATGCACCAAAGACAGGGATGGGGGAATGCTCTGTCGATGGATGTGAGAAAATTGCATGGATTCACTGTTGTGTTCTGGCCTCATCATGCCCCACTATTGCCCTTCCCTACAATCTTCCTTACTGTTTTTCCTCCCACTTCCCCTCATCTGCTATTCTTTCTTTCCTCTCCCCTGGCTTTTCTTGTTTTTATCTATATTTTGTTGTCTCCAGCTGTGTGTGCTGACCATCCAGGCCCATATTAAAGGCTGTACTTTTCTCATGACATCCAATCATCATCTAATTTGCTCCAGTTATGGAATGCAATCCTGCCAGCGAGGGACACGGGCTATTATCAGAGCGCATGTGGCAGAGGCCATCTTCACAGCCCCCTGTAACACACAGTGATTATCAGACCAAGCCAGAGCTAACTTTTGTCTGGATCCCCATGGCAATTTCAAGATTCCCATAGCTTCTGTCATTAACTGAGCATGCGAACACATTAGCCGAAAACACCCCTCAAACAATGAATGGCTAGTAGAGCAGAACTGATATGTAATGAAAATTTTTTTTCATGGAAACATTTATTATGCAGAGGTATCTGTTCAAGTCTCACCATTTACAATTCAGCTGCTGTGGAGATACTCCAATTCTTATGCAGAAAGTGTAATAAGTGTTCAGTGTGCTGGGGAAGTCTTCATTAAAGCAGTCCCTAACTGCCTTCTTCCACAATGGCAGTCCTCTGACAAACTGCCCTTCCAAATGGAAAAAATGGCAGTGACGTAGAAACCGCAGTGATGTGCAAATATCTGCCAGTAAGTGGGAAGCAGAACTTCTTTAGACCAAAAGTCATATGACTTTAGACTGTTTTAAGACGGTGCTAAAATTTAGTTTGGGGTTTATCCTTTACAGAACCTTATCACTCAGGTGAGGCAGTAACAGCTCAACAACCTTGTTTTGGAGAAGATTTCTCCCTTGGAAAGAAAACCTCTGTTTTGGAGAATGATGAAGGCTGTTGGTGAGTGACAGCCAGATAGATTTTAATGCATATGAGGATACAGACTTTACAGCTTTAATTATGATTGCCGATATTATATTCATAAAGCTGATATAAGGATTACAGTGGAGCTAGTAAATAAAATCAGAGCCAATTATTAATAAAGGACAAAAAAGATGTTGGGCATTTAATGATTGGGTAAACGGGAATTTGTGCCTCCACTTTAATCTGTCTCTGACTTCAACTGGAGGGTTATGTCTCATCTTTACAAGATGACCCCTGTGCCTACTTCCAAAATGTCTAGCTGCTTTCAGGATTCTTTTTAGATGAATGTCCCTCTAGTTGATTATATTTTGCTTGGCCAGTTAATGTAAAACTTTTGATTCTGAAATTTTGAAAGTGTTTTTTTTAAGAGCTTTGATTTAAAATTCAGAGGAAAAGTAAGTCCTTGGCCTTTAACTTAAGGTGAGCTGTAACTCAGAAGTGAGCTTAGCCCATCGCTGCAGGGGAAAAACAGCCTCTGATGGATGGGGTGGCCTAACCTCAAGAGGCAGAGGGTGTAGGGTTTGACTCGGGGTAAAGTGACACTTCAATGTGTCGCTCTTCATCCCAGGATTGAAACACCCTCAGAGTGGATGCAGCACATTTGTGCTAGAGCGTGGCAAGTGTTACACTATAATGTGTGACTACATCACTCATGTTTCACTGTGTTGCTCCTAAAAAAAGATTTAATGCCCATTCATCCTGGTTAAAGACGGCTTTTGCAAAACCCATGAATCCAATGGGATAGTAACACCGCCTAAAAGGTCGCACAACGTGTCAAGAATAAAAAAAGTAATTAAAGAACCTTTTTCTCATTGCGCGTGTGTTGTCCTTAAAGTGCAGTTGTTCTGTAGAGACATTGCTTTATTGCTATAAAGATCGGCACCAAAACCAGAGGGAAGTTGCAAGAACAAGTACTGTTACCAAAGAGTGGAACCATTTTGAATTAGCCAGAGGCCCCTCCTGGTCTTTTACGCCTCTGGTGTTGTTCAGAAGGAGCATATCAACACAATGGCATTTTCTACAACTGACAGTTTGTTCACTACGGTCTCTATCAGGCCTCTCTGTGATCATGTTGTCACTGTTAATGAATAAGTATTGATGAGAAGACCCTTTCAGAAAGGCTGAGTCTCTTCTGGGTTTTGCATGTTGTAATTGATCTCTCCAATATCTCCTGATTTATTGGTTCATAACCAATATTCTTGTTTAGCTGACCCACTGTTTTAAATTTGATTGAATACACTATATTCTTCAGCCACTAATCAAACAGTGCATGTGCGGCATCAATGTTTTGTGAACTAAAGAGGGTATGTTCACAGTGAGCAGACAGGCGGCTCAGCTGCACCTCACAGTTCTATCGAATCAGTGTCATAATTGAAATTACAGTGAAAAATGTCCTCCTGGGTGCTATTACTGCATCAACAAGCAATTCCTCTTTTCATAACCAAGCTCGAGGTGTGCTCTACAGGGACATCAAGCATTGTTTAAGACTCGCTTTCTGCTGATTTGATTGCTGGATGGAACTCTCTTTTCTAATACAGTTTCCATTATGAGTTCAGGCTGAACCTGCATTAATGCAACCGAAGTGGCCCCTTGAGTTGTGCCCACCTTTGGAGATGATTTATAGTGATTATTATTGTGTATCATGTTGATAATAGTTCAAAGTGATTACTCTAATAACCACTTTGTGACTAGTTTGGTTACTGGAGGGGCAATGATCGCACTTAGTCAGATATACACATTTATGATGCATCACATGAAAACACCTCTGCAGTGACGTAATACCATAGATAAATAATAGTATAATGCTCTTGTCACTCTTGTCTTTTTTCCCCCCACAACTTCAGGAAACCAGTAGCTTCACAAACACAGACACACATTTCAACCTTTACAAACAAGCCCAGACAGCTCAGCTCCGGCTTCAGTCTGATTATCATATAGATGAGAGACTGGGGCATAAACACAGCCATCTTAACAGTAGTGATAAATGAATCTTGATTGGTTATTAATTAACCAGCCAATTAAACTCCATTTCCATATTCAAATCAGATTATGGAGGATCACCAAGAAATGAATGAAGATGATAAGATAGGAAATTAACGTGAAGATTCCAATCTGATGCTCTGATTAGAAATCACTGAAGCACTTTTTGGGTGCCATTATTCAATAGTTTTACTGGAGAGTCCTTTACATTTCCTTTTTGTGTATTCTTGAGATGCATTTATCAGATCGTAGCTATATTTTTGCCTTTATGGCTCTGATCATTTGCGTCAGATATTCAGAACTCCTGCTAAAACTGATGAAAATTACTTTTAGGTTGTAAACAATATAAAGTCAAAAATTTTTTGGGGGGGCAAATGCGTCACTTTGAAATACTGAATATTTCTTTTTTGCCTCACTTTGTTGATGGTAGTCATCACCCAACCCTCACATTGCCAATAGCTTCTGACTCAATCATCTTCATTTCCACTTGAATGAAGACAGATGTCCCTGCTGAGTACAAGGATGTGTGTTTTTCCTTAGCATATTTAGTCACTGGATGGAAGTATTTCTCAGCTGTCAAGGTTTTATTTTAAGTTGAGCAACTTTGATGACAGCTCTCTACTTGGTTGAGGTATCTAATGGATGTCCATCTAAGTGGAAAGACTTTTGTGCTCTCTGAAACTAGCAGAAAATGGGTTAATTATAAATCATCAAGCAGTTTGACCCAAACAGGACTTTGAGTGGCACTGTGAAACGGGTCAGTTCTGTTCAACATTTTGAGCTAATTGACTGTATGGCTTAACCACAATACCACCATGCAGCCTTAAACAAAAAGTTATTTTAACCCATTTTATTAATTAAAAAAGAGAAACTCCCATTGCTTCAGTAGTGAAATAATTCAGATTATAAACAAATGTACTCTCACTGTTCAGCAACATGTGAACAACAACAATTAGAATAAAGAGTTTTAGTTTTCTGTTCAGAATATTAAATGCACCTGAAAAATGTGGCTCCATAGTGAATGTGAAGCATGTTGATCGAATGATACTGGCTGTGATCACTTAGATCTGCAGTTATTCAAAAATCCCTCTGAGATTAGATCTTGAAGGTGGCATCAGTTTTGATGGAACTTTATGGTCTATTTCTGTTTTTATTCATGAAAAACAGGTCAATTTAACAAGATGCTCTAATAATTCTGAAAGTATTGACTTCTAAGTTTGTCTCTGAAGGGACTGTTATTCCAACTTAAGGAAACAGAGGAACAACAAGGACATGAACACACTCACAGACACTTGGTGAAGAGCAGTGGACTGAATCTGTCTTCAGCTGCGGGGCGTCATGTCTGTCAGTGTCTCTCCAACTTTGTCATCCACATTCATCAGCGCATAGCATCCTGTATAAACTCACATCATGTGGGCCATCGCACTCAATATACAAAATTAGACTATACCTCTTTTGACAGCAGTTCAACCTGAACCTGTGGTGCGTTTACCCACAAAGAATAATTTGGGTAACTGTATGTTCATTGCAAATATTTTCCTCTGTTATTTATAAAGTCTTATTGAGATCATTTCTCAAAGAGGATTCCTTAAAAATATTTTCTAAAAAAACTTTTAAACCACACTGGCTCATATTTGAATAACATCAAACCGCATAAAGTTTAAATCCATATCTATTTGTCTTTACCCAAAAATGTGGTTAGGTACGTTGCGAGTGGGGGCTGAAATGTAAAACTCAACTTTTAAATTAGGTCATTTATATTAAAGGAAGTTTTAATAATGATAGCAAATCAACCTTAAATAATATTACGTGAACAGTTGTGACTATTATTCTTAGTTTTATTTAAAAATTCATCAGTTAAGCAGGATGAAGGTTTGCAAATTATTTAAGAATGTGGATTTTTTAATGTAAAGGGACAGCATGCATATAAAGAACTTCAAAGGAGTAAAAAAATCCCATCCTTAGGCTGTGATGGTTTGCCAACTGTAATAGTGAGATGGAAAGAACATTTGGAGACTAAAAAAATAAAAAGAAAGCATAGCCGAACTCCAAAAAAGTCCTGTTTGTCCACTGGAGGCAGCCGACATTAAACAATTATATGTTTTCTGTGAAACTCCCTCGATCTCAAACAGTCTTGTCAAGAGCTAACTGTGCCTTAATTTTCCCCCTATGTAACGTTTTCATCTATTACATCAACATATGTGGTTTAATGGGTCATTGCCACAATTGAGAGATACTGTATTTAAGTCAGCATTTTAAATTCAGTCAAGCTGCCGATTCCTAATCACATTTAACTCTCCACTGAATCCTTTTTTTCCTCTCTGTCTTGTGCTCTCCTTTTAGGATGGTACAGAGGATTCTCAACAAAGAAGCCAAATGTCAAGGTAAGATACACTGACAGCTTATTCTTTATTACTCTCATCTCCCACACAACAAAGAATTTTCTTCATGTTGATGTTTGGCTCATGAGTTAGTGAGTTCTTCCCACCAATGTTTCTGAAGGATACTTTGGGGTATTTATCCATCATGCTTCACTCAGACCAGTTTCTCTGTCTTTTGCATTGTCTCACAGACTTTGAATTGTACCCAAGACTGTTGGATGATAAATGGCACACTTAAATGACATATGTCAAAAATATGGAGTATCTCCTGTGAAAAAGACAAAACAGTCAAGTTTAAATTAATTTCTTAATTACACAAGTTTTCATTATCTAACCTTTTTAGCCAAAACTCCATAAACTGATGCTGCTCCTGTTTTTGTGTACTGGAACAGGAATATTGATCTGAATAAATCGCCCAAGTGAGCTGTAACTGCAGCTCAACGTCCACTCTAACATTAGAATATAAAGAGGCTAAACAACCAATGATTCATCAAGTGTGTTATTAGAAAAACACGAATATATAGTTAATTCATGTGACTTAATGGTACATTTAGAAATATCTGGCTCTTTTACAACATGTGACTTTTAAGATATCAGAGACATTAAACTGTAGAACGCTGAAATCTGATGTTTAGATAAAATATAAACAGATGTTCAGTTCACATATTACAGATGTGTGTACATTAAGGTTCTCAGCTGTACATGCACGATAATGTAGCTGTGTTTGTGCCTCTAACTCCAGCTGTCTTGATGACCTCACTGCAGCTGATGATGTAATAATTAATCACATGTTGGTTATTTTACTGATGAAAGTCTTGCAAACAGCAGGGATGTTTTGTTTTCTGGTTGTAGGCATGCTTTTGACCTCATAGAAACAGGCCTATGTGCTTAAGAATCTCAGTAATGAATGCAATAATGTGAAAACCTGCAGTCCACAACAGCAAGATGGACAGGCACATAATCGAGTGCCATCTCAGAACATGACTCACTTGTTGTTGTTTTTTTCATCCTTTCACCAAAGAGTAATGGATTACATTTTATGGTTACTTGTGTTTGAATGGACAAAGTCTATTTTCTTGCCATTCTGTGTCCTGTGCAGAGCTTTGTGCTTCCAGAACGTTGGTGACTTACAAGCCAATGTTGAGCCTGAGTGGCTCTTTTGTAAACAGACTGCCCAGAGAGCTGCACAGCTGCCCAATGCTCACACGTGCATGAGTGAGCGGCTGACTCAAACATCAACGTTTGTTGGATGGTGAAACATTTCCTCGAGCTCAATCTGTAAATAATTTCGTTTTAGAAAATAGGATTACTTTTACACCCATTTCATTGAGTGGTTTGCCAACCTAACAGTTGGTCATAACTCAACTGATTCACTTTTGTGTGGGAAATGCGTCTCCAGAGGCTCTCAGAACAGGACAAAAAAGGCACACACTCAGTCAGTCCTCTCATCTTGTCCCTATCCATAAAGCTGAATTCTCACTCCACCAGTGTGGCTGTTTGGTGAGAAACTTTGTTGTAGCAGTAACTTTACTTGAAGTTTCTCTGAGAAAATGATTCTTGAGCTTTTAAATCGTATTCAAAGTTGCTAAAAAGCTTTATTCTAAGTCTTGTTAGATAGGTTTATGTAACCAATTCATTTCTGTTGGATTTTACAACCACTTTTTGGCTATTTGTTTTAAATAACCAAAAAGGGTCTCTGGGAGTCCATAAGAGGCTTTACTCAATTTGGAAAGCAGTGTTTCCAGAAGCTGTTGTTTTTAGGTCCCCTGTCATGACATAAGAGTTAATAACTATAGCTGTCATGGCCATTACTCTTTAAAGCCTTAAATTACTAATGGTTTGCAAAGTCATTACTCAATTTTAGGGGGATGAAAGACCACAAAGTCATGTCTTTTTTCCACACAGAGGAAACACAAAAAAAGGAAATAGAAACTTTTTTAAAAAATATGAACAAATTTACATATTTTATAGTCTTCATAGTGATAAAGACAGTGGATGAATAGCTTGTTGCTTTTCATGGTGCCTGTTGTTTTAACCCAACAGTGTAATAGTCGTGGCACGTGTTAATTTTTTACTACTGCGATTCCGCAACTCGTGGTTTTCTAAAACTGACTTTCTTCCCTCTGACAACGTGACCTTATCAGCATATCACTGACCTGACGTTATCCTTCTTTGACATTACATCGTGTTTAAAAACAGATGATGAAGATGCTTGCAGTGATGTCTTTATGCAGCTGTTAAGTAAACGGTCTCCTGTGTTGGTTAAGCAGCTAGAATGAGGTTCAAAAGCAAAATAATCGGACAAGTAGTCAAAGTAATCTCAGTGTAATTCTCCAAGAACTCAGACACAGTTTACCTTTTTACTTGGTTAGATATGATAGCGTTACATCCAGAGATGTCTATAGGTCTGTTTAAGCCTGCTTTCGGTCTTGAATTTGATTCATAATATCTTGAGGAACGGTCTTCTCGTATCATTAATTGGCCTAAAACATAGTGACATGCTCATACTTAATCTTTAGTTGTAAGCACATAAACACAACCAATAAATGGCGGTCTGCATTTTTTTCTTTACCAGTGCACAGTAAAATGGGCATTTATTTTCATGTGCAGGTTTGTTTCACGCTCCAGAAACAGTAGCTCGAGAAAAAAAAAGAAAAAAGGGCCTAAATACTTGGGCAGGGAAAGGAGCTGTGTGCCATGCTTAGCAGCTCGAAAAGGAGTGGATCGTATTCCCCTGTCGTGATTGAGCCTGAAGTTGACATGATCTAAATCTGTGTGCATTTGTGCTACAAGAACTATTCATGTGTGCGCCTGCTCGTGTGCACAATGGGGATTATATAATCGTATCTGCGAGCATGCTACAGCATGCCTTCATGTGCTTTTGTTTGCATTGTGATGGTCCTCCTAAATGCGGCTGTGTTTCATTTGTTGCCTCTTTCCTCGAACAGAGGCATCAGCCCAATCCTGTTAGTTCCATCTTAATCACCTGGTTTCTCCACAGTGAGCGTGCTAGTCGAAACGAATCGCTGAGTCTCCCTGAGGAAATGCCTTCTTGCTCGGAGTCATTTCTAATCCAGCTTCACATTAGAGAACTTCACACTGTGGGATTCATCAATGTTCAGATATAACAACCATCGGGGGCCACAGAGAGGACAGCTCAGTGCTTTGAGATGAGCTGTTCAACTCTGTTTTTAAATGTTATGGGTTTAGTTTCTTCTAACAAATATCAAACAATCATAGAAAATAAAAATAAAAATAAATTGTTCTTGTATTTCTGGCAGTGTTTGTTCATGTTCTGCTTGAACAGGAGTGACCGTTTTCTCTGACTTTGATGTTAGCCAGTAATTAGAAGAGTGCAAACTGAAATGTAGTCATTTAGCATTTGAAATTCAGACTGACTACATCTGTGGTTTGTGGCTGATGTAGACTTAAACTCCCTTGACTGACATTTTTTATCCGTCTTTCTGTGGCTGCTTAAATACATTTAAGAAATGTATTTGCTTCTGCCTGTAAATATAATGACCAATAATTTCTGTGCAGTGAATCTGCTGCGGCCTTGGCTACTCGGAGAGCTAAGAGTACGTCAGGGCTGCACGTTTCCCTGTGTTTCGACGGCGTCTGACTGTGTGTGCCGATTACACCCTGCCGGCACACTTTAGTGTAATTGATGTGTATATTTTCGGTGTGTTTATAATCTTTCGATGCATTAAGCAAGTGAAAAGACCTCGGTATTTGTGTGTATAATGACTTTATGATATTACAGATACAGGCATTATCTTTGTGTGTGAAATAACTGCTCATTTACTTTAACTGTGAAACACGCGTTTCTCCACAAACTGCAGACATGCGTGTGATGTGAATGAGTGCGAGCTAGGAAGCACCTGGCTATCTGTTCATCCTGCCAGCAGATTACAGTCATCAAGGTGGAGTTTCATAAATAAAGCAGTACACACATGCAAACCTCACTCACACACAACACAACCAGTGGGGCTTTGGGGACTGCACTGCATTAGTCATGGTAACCATTTCTTTTCAGGACCAGCGCACTTTGGCTCCCTGCCCTGAGAGTCCTCCCTCTGCTGGCCCCATATGAAACCAAATCTGCAGACTGTACACACATGACATGCTACCCACCATAGAAGTTGTCATTTATGAAAGATTTCCATTAATTCTGGGATTTGTAATGATTATCGCAGTGCTTATTTAATACAGCGTGATGCGTCTTTGCTCTGCCCTGCCGGGTGTATTCCACTTAGGATAACTGTACAGAAACATCTGTTGGCGAGGCTCAAAGCTTTTATATTTTTTTGTGGAACTAGTGTATAATGAACTGTTTAAATAGAATATGATCTTCTTGGTGTTGTAGCTGAAATTGTTGCCTGTGAAAGTGACTTTCAAGGAAAAAAAAACCTTTATAAATGATCAAATGAATTAAATTTTAAGTAAGCATGGGAAGTGCATCCATTTTCAGGTATAGTTTGCATATATTCATGTTCATATTGATTGCTCTAGAGTGAGATATTTTTTTTAGAGTGAAGTAAACGCCATTAAATAAATCAATATGCAAAGAGGCTTTTTATTAAACATTGGTTCCTGCTTTTTGTGTAAAAAACAAACACTGTTACATCACACAATGATTAGTCATCAAGCAGGGCCAAAATTACATTCTGAGGCTTGCACAGTGTAGTAGATTTAAAAATAGTAACACATGCCACTGGCCTGGTTCATATGATTAGATACATTTTGACAAAGGAACAAACAGGCCTTATTTTAGAAATGCAATATGCAAGAAAAGTAAACTGATGTCGCAACGATCGGTCAGACAAAAAAACAAAACAAATCACTATTTGTAACACACTGCAACGAGTTCCTCATTTGCGCCGCCACTTTTGTTTACTCTCTTTAAAGAAAGTGAGGGTGTGAATTTCAGACCATATGCTCACCCTCTTCCAGAGCGGACGTCTCCTCTGGGCTGCTGTCAGATAAAGTGGTGCCACATGGCC